TGCCGGGTTCCCCAAAATGAGCTCGAAGGGGGATTTTGGGGTCCCCCATAGTGGGGTCAGGGGGGGATGGGGGATGGGATTTTGGGGTCCCTACAATGGGGTCAGGGGGTCAGAGTGGGGATGGGGATGGGATTTTGGGGTCCCCACAATGAGGTCAGACTGGTGAACAGGGCACACCGCTATCCCCCCCACCCCCAACCCCACCCTCCATATTTTTGGGGTGATCCCATCCCCGGGATGGGGTGAGGGCAGCTCCGAGCCGGTATTTTTTTGGGGCGCCGCCCCGTTCGTCCCCCCAGAATTCTTCATCGACGGTCTGGGGGCGCTGCACGTGGGCTCGTGCGAGGACGTGGTCATCGACCACGCGTCCAAACTGGCCCTGCCCTGGCGGCGATCGGAGGGCGAGCGCCAGTACAACCGGTACCGCTACCCCGGCACCCGCGACAGCAGCCTGCGCCTCAAACAGCGGCTGTTCTTCTACAAAAACCGCCTCCAGTGCATGGCCGGAGAGTAGGAATGGACACTGGACACTGGGCGTGGCTGGATGGACACTGGGCACTGGATGGACATTGGGTACCGGGCACTGGATGGACACTGGGTACCAGTCAGCCTGCGCCTCAAACAGCGGCTGTTCTTCTACAAAAACCGGCTCCAGTGCATGGCCGGAGAGTAGCGATGGACACTGGAACCGGCCGGACACTGGGCACTAGGCACTGGGCACCGGCTGGACATTGGGCACCGGGCACTGGATGGACACTGGGTACCGGTCAGCCTGCGCCTCAAACAGCGGCTGTTCTTCTACAAAAACCGGCTCCAGTGCATGGCCGGAGAGTAGCGATGGACACTGGGACTGGCCGGACACTGGGTATTGGCACAGGATGGACACTGGGCATGGATGGACACTGGGTACCGGGCAGCCTGCACCTCAAACAGCGGCTGTTCTTCTACAAAAACCGGCTGCAGTGCATGGCCGGAGAGTAGGGATGGACACGGGAACCGGCCGGACACTGGGCACTGGGCACTGGATGGACACTGGGCATGGATGGACACTGGGTACTGAATGGACATTGGGAACCGGGCACTGGATGGACACCGGGCACCGGTCAGCCTGCGCCTCAAACCGCGGCTGTTCTTCTACAAAAACCGCCTCCAGTGCATGGCCGGAGAGTAGCGATGGACACTGGACACCGGCCGGACACTGGATGGACACTGGGCACTGGACATTGGGTACCGAATGGACACTGGGTACTGGGCAGCCTGCACCTCAAACAGCAGCTGTTCTTCTACAAAAACCGGCTGCAGTGCATGGCCGGAGAGTAGGGATGGACACGGGATGGACACTGGAACTGGCCGGACACTGGGTATTGGCACAGGATGGACATTGGCACCAGGCAATGGGCATGGATGGACACTGGGCATCAGGTACCGGTCAGCCTGCGCCTCAAACAGCGGCTGTTCTTCTACAAAAACCGGCTCCAGTGCATGGCCGGAGAGTAGCGATGGACACGGGATGGACACAGGAACCGGGCAATGGGCACCAGTCATGGATGGACATGGGTATTGGGCAATGGACATTGGGAACTGGGCAGCCTGCGCCTCAAACAGCGGCTGTTCTTCTACAAAAACCGGTTCCAGTGCATGGCCGGAGAGTAGCGATGGACACTGGACACTGGCCGGGCACCGGATGGACATGGGCACCGGGCACCAGACACTGGCCCAGACACAGGCAAAGAGGGGTCACTGCAGGCCATGGGCCCGGACACCGGTCTGGACACTGGCCACCCATCCCAGTGACTAGGGGTGGCCATGGGCCGGACACTGGACATGGGCCAGACCACCGGCCACCACCCCGGTGATTAGGGCTGACCATGGTCACCGGCCACTGGCCACCGGCAACTCGTGAGCCCAGACACTAGCCTGGCTACCAGCCATCGCCCTGGCCACTGCCCTGGTCACCGCCCCGGCCACCAGTGACTAGGGCTGACCACAGGCCCGGACACTGGCCACTGGCCACCCGCCCCAACAGCAAGAGGTGACCACAGCCCTGGCCACTGGCCACCCACTCTGGCCACTAGGGGTGACCACAGGCCATGGCCACCAGCCCGGCAACCAGCCTGGCCACTGGCCTGGCCACCAGCCACCCACCCTGGCCACTAGGGGTGACTGCAGGCCATGGCCACTGGCCACCGCCCAGCCACCC